AATACATCGGTTGGACCGGATAAGGTACAACCTACAAACATACAGTTCGGGCATACACGGTAACTACTTCACAGTATACTATAAAAATGCCTCAAAACACTAAGGGATAGCTCGGGGTAATAATTACCGAAAAATCCTATTTCGGGTATGTATCTCTAATAGCTCTAATTTCGGGTATGTAGCTCTAATACTTAGCAGAAAAAGAAAATTTTCATTACTAATAAATAAAAACGAGCTAAAAAAGCTCGGGAAAGTTCAACAAGAAGTAAAAAAATGGGCACAACTGCCTAAGAAGAAGATTTTTGAAAACTGGGTTTTGGCACCAGGGAACCACTAGAAATCAGTCAGAAAAGCAGAAAAACAGAGCCGCCAGCCTCAAGGGTCCACCTCCTCCACCTCGTCCTCGTCCTCCGGGGAGTCAGGCTCCTCCTCCTCCGCCTGGTCCGTCGTCTCGGGAGCCAGGTCTATTGTGATGTCGTTGAGGTTGAGCCTAGAGAACTTCTTTCGGACTAACCAGCGGCAGAGCTTGAACCTGGAGCGGTACGAGCTCGAGCCATACTCCACTTGGAGGTTGTGATACTCCTGGGAGTCCTTGAAGTCCCAGACTTCCTTAGCCCGCTTGGCCTCCACCATGGTGTCGAAGTTCCGAGTTCAGTCCAGAAGTGTAGACTCCAAGTCCCGAACCTGCTGGCGAAGGAGCTCTCTCTCCGCTGCCACCCTCAACGACTCCTCCCTGTAGCGTGCGCTCTTCTCAGAAAGCCTGGCGATCTGCGCCTCCTGGTCACGGGCGAGCAGCTCTTGGGCCTCGCTCCCTTTGCGAGTCTAAAGGAGCTCACCTCGAGCCTGGTCGATCTCGCTCTGGAGCTTCTGAATGAGGACCCTCTGATTACGAGCGTCGTCGGAGTAGATGTTGGTCTGGAGGGTCATGGCATGGATGGCGGAGTTCACCTGCCAAACAAGGGACTAAGGTCAGAAAACAACAAAAGAAAGGAAAGAATGAGAAGAAAAGAAGAAGGACCACTTACCACCATACAGTGAGAGGTGGCGAGCGCGGCGAGCAACCTGGGCTCCATCTCCCCCCACTTAGCGACCTCCTCGTGGCAGATCGCCCTTCGGCTCTTCCGCCCAGCCACAAGGTGGTCATTGACACCCTCCTAGTCTCCCACTGCGAGCTGCGGGTAGGGGAATGGGCGGGAAGGACCAGGAGGAATCACCCCTTGCCTCGGGAGCTCGCCCTCCTCGAGGCCACCCTCTCTGGCACCTCCTTCAGACGGGGCCGGTGGAACTTCAGGCGGTGGAGAAACAAAGTCTGGCTCAATAGACTCGAACTCAGTGCCCCCAGAAGTAGGAGTTTGGTCAGGACGCGACCTCTTCACCTTACGCTTCTGGTTACTGGAAAAAAGGCGGCGCGCGTCAACACTAGACATGACGGCTGCCACAAAAACCACAAGGTATTAGTCCAGTAAAAAAGAAAATATATACACATATGATATATTTTTACAAGGCACTACGCGACCTAAAAGGCAACCTACCCAGACTCAGGCTAGCCTGCGCGAGCTTCTCCTCGGTCAAGTAATCTGAACAGAGAAGGCCTACAGCTGCCTAGGACAATAGTGTTTTCCGAGTTTCAAGTCCAACTCAACCTCGGGGTCCTGGATGGCGCCCCTCCAAGAGGTTGGGAAGGGCCACCCCTCGGGGTTACAGACCACAAAATAGTCCCACTTCCAGGCTTGAACCCTATTCGGTAGGTTGTGCAGGAGCTTAAAGCCACAGCGGGAAAAAAAGTAATAAGAACGCCTTTCTAGAGGCACTCTGGGAGTGGCATTCTTAATGTAGAGAATAGAAGAAAAAATATCGAGATCAAGGGGAAGATAATACTCATAGCACAGGGAAATGGTCCCAACTACATTCCGGATGGCGTTGGGATGGAGCTGGTCAATGGTGACATTAAAATGATTCAACACCTCCACTATTAGGGGGTGTAGGGGAAGACGCAGGCCAACCTCAAGTTGTTCCTGGAAAATTACTATGTCATTGGAACCATGCTCCCAGGGAAAGTTACCAGAGGGGAGACCGTAGATAAGGTCCCCAAGAAGGTGAAAGTAGTGGACTAGAGATCTGAGTCTCTCCATCGTCATAGAGGAGGGACCGAAGGTGTCAGGCTCTCTACCCCGAGAAGTAGAAGCCACATCGCCGAAGGCCTCCCAAGCCTCCGGAGCCTACTCCCAAGCTCTCCCTGAGCTCGAGGGGGCGTCGTCGTCCTGGTTACCGTCCCGGGGATAAACGTGGTGCGAATACCCAGACATGATTGACAAAATGAATAAGACTCACCGGAAAGATGAAACGGTGTGAGCAGAAGAGCTCGGGCAGACTAGATGGATGCGCGACCTTAGAATCCGAACATAGCAAGTTAGCGTGAAAGAAAATGAGGCCTGGGGGCCCTCCTATTTATAGCCATTGTGCCCCTAGATCAACGGTCCAGATTGAGACAAATCTGACGGTTTGCAATCAAGCTAACCGCACGTCTTCTGAAACTGAAATGCGATTGGCTGCACGTCTCCCATGATTGAGGTAATGACGGTTGCACGACATCCAGAGTTAAGAGCCGCTTCGACGCGTTTCTCAGCATTTGAAACATCAGAAATCCCTTGACTTCTGCGTACGCATTTAATGCGAGCAGTCAATCAAGTTTGAACTTCGGTCAAATCCACCCGTCGCACTTCATGAACTCCTCACGCTAAGGTAGCATTCTTAGCCCGAGGAGTGGGGGGCAATTGATGGAGGTTGATTTGACCCGACCCCTTGAGACAATGACACATGGACCTGACTCAGCACGAGCAACAGCTTAGCGCCACAGCCTGACTGCGACTAAGTAACGAGCCTGTAGGTCAGCTCACTACGTCATAGCTCACTATAGGGGGATCTCGCTACAACGCGATCTCGAGGTCCCCCGAGCTACTGAAAGGGAATACTCCAAGACTATCCCAACTCACGAGCTAGGGTAACCAACTCACTCCAACACTTAGGCAGAAAGACTGCCCCAAAGACAATCTCGATGAGGATCACCTCGAAGTACCCCTGGGAGCTCGCTACGAAGTAGCTCGTGACAAGATAGCTCGCTGCGTGTAGGGTATCTTGCGACTAAGCGACGTGATGCTCTCAGGAAGCTTCTATCTGACAAGACCGTACCCGTCAGACTGCGCTACGTCTCTTGACTGACGGCGCAGTCCCTGCCCATTCGATAGACTGTACCCACATCTCTCGACAGATGGTGGCGTGCCTATCCTCCCGGGACGTGTCACCCATCCAATTGGGTAGTACCCTGCAACGGTCACCTGCGCAGCCCTAGCAAGTAACAGTTGCAACAGAAGCCCAATGGCGGTTACGCCCGATTTGACAAGAACGCCCCTATAAAAGCCCCTTTGTCGAAGGGGAGAAGGATCTCTGATTGAATCTGATTTTGAGTCATCTTACTTGCTCTCGAGCTAATCTTGAGAACTCAGTGATTTAGCGTGACCTACACTCTTAGCCTCTTTACACTCTTTACTTTCTCCCCCAGCGTTCTAACTTAAGCTTTGGAGTATTTCCGCCGGGCGAATCCCCTGGGAATCCTTCACCTTCCTCTTCTTAGGTCGCGTCCGTTGCCAGATAGGAGCCAGTCAGTAGCCAGCTAGGAGTGCCCAGATCGTGACACATCAAAAACCATGAATGCTTGTATGGAAATGGATGCGGTCCAATATGCATCGATATGGAAATGTATCAATGCCTAGTTTGACAAAACTATATATTAGCTTTTAGATTGTTTTTGAACTTTAATAAAAATTGAAAATTATAATTATATAAATTTGGAATAAATGATTCAAATTTTAATTTTCTCCAAAATTTTAATAAAAACTAAAAATTATAAAAATAGTTAATTTTATTTACCTTAAATGGTTTATATGCTTTGTTAACATATAAATTATATGTTAAAAATGAAAACATATTTTTTGTTTAAAAAAATAGATCAATTATTCATATAAGACAATAAATAATTTTTTTTAACAAAATTAATAAAAATTAAAATATAGTGATAATTATTGTATAATGTGTACATGTTCTATAATCCCGATATTGCTTATTGTAATATTTCTCTTTATATACCTATTAAAGTGAGAATTTCTCATCTGTTTACACCTTATTCATAGATAATTCAACTTTAGATTTAGTGTTATTAATGTATTTATGTGATTTGTATACATTTCCCTATTATATCCAAGTTGTCCTTATCCATTCGTTTCAAAAGTGTATATGCATCCATATCCATACGAGTTATTTGATATAACACTTGATGCCAATACTTTAATCCTTAATTCAATCGTCCAAGTCACAATAAAAAAAAAAAAAAAAAAAGAAAACAGATCAAGCCAGTCAACTTTTTTTCGGCTATATGATGGGTTAAAGGTTAACCCAAACTAGGGGGCATTCTACAACATGAATTTTTTGTTTTCATTTGTTTTTGAAATTGCCACATCAGGAAAATAAAACAAAAAACATGTTTTTGAACTCAATTTTTGTTTTGTTTCAAAAAAAAAAAAACAATACATGTTTTTAGAATCAACAAAATAATAGTTTTTAAAACAAAAACAAATCTTTTAACATAGAAATTATATGATTTATGGAATATGATGTTAAATAATCAAATGGAAACATGTTTTTTATTTTAGTTTTGAAAACAAAACAAACACAACCATTCATGTTCATTGTGTTTTTGTTTTAAGAAACAATCTATTTTCAAATCAGATGGTTTTGATTTGTTTTTGCCTTTTTGGAACCGGCAACAAGAAAAATCATTCACATTAGAACACCCCTGGATTTGTGACCAGACCAGCAATCCAACTGGCCGGGTTAACAGTGGGTTGAAAACTTGAAAATACTGCAGTAGGTCAGCAATGGATGGATAGACTAGAGAGGCTTACAAAATAAATAGAAAGAAAATAAACATGCAAAAAACTGCATCATAAACAAACCTGAGTCTCTGATTTTAATATTAAATGAATTCCTGCCAAGATAATGAAATTCTAAAAAACACAACTGTAGCACCGTAAACCCACCAAATCCTAGACCTAAAAGCACAATGAGGTTCTCTACAGTTCCATGCCGCAGAGAGCGTAAACTAGATATCTGTTCTTATTCTCAGTAATGAATGACGTGGTCAGAAAGTATGCAAAGTCGATCCAATCCATGGAAAGGCAAAGACAAATGTAACTATAAAAAAAAAAAGAAGAAATAACTTGTTGTATGCCATCATCATCACGCAGCAATAACTGGCTCAGGCTCTGTAGCTGGTTGGTCCTCTGCTGCAGTAGGAGCGTCTACCTTGGAGTCTGGGATACCATTCACAACAGCATCTTTGGCAGCTCCTGTTGCTGCTCCGGCTGCAGCTGGTGCAGCATCCTTGGCATCCTTCCCATCCTTGGCGTCCTTGGCATCCTTCCCATCCTTAGTTTCCTTACCATCCTTGGCAGGTGGAGAGGGTGGTGGGATCATGTGGGGGGGAGGTGTGTGCTTCAGCTTCAGGAGTATCTGCCGCATCCTAGAAAGATCAGTGGGCTTCCCAGGCTTCGGGCCCTGGATAACTACAATGGATGGCTTCTTTTCTTGTTCCTTTTTTCCTCTCTTCTTCTCAAGATTAGGGACCTCATATGGAATGAGCTCTGCTATTGCCTTCCAGTATTGTTTGTCCGCATTTTTGTGGAACTTCTCTTGGTTAGCCAAGTATAGCTGCCCAAATAGAAGATTACTTGCATTAGGAATAAAACTAAATAATTAATTTAATTTGTTTTGTTAACCAAAAAATAAAATAAATTAAGAAAATCCAAAAGCGCAAAACTAGAAAGGAAAGGTAGAAGCAAAAGACTTAGGGCAACTCAACCTTTTCCCTTTCTCTGTTCTGTGCCTTGTTAGTCTCACAGTTGACTTTTCTTTTCTCATAGAAAGTTCGTTTGTATTCTTCAGCTTCTTCAATAATCTGGTTGCGCATCTCCTTCTCCCTCTTCTCCTTCTCTTCAAGATGGATAGCATTTTGGCTGCACCAATCCATAGACAAAGCACAATTTTTATGAGAGGTAAACCTCCACAATAACAAAGTAAATATCTAATCAGCCTGATGGATCTCAGGAAAGAATTTCTTGGCAGAAGTACTTGTCCAAGATTAGCCAGTCGGCTATCCACTAAGGATTGGGTAGACTCTCTGCTGGGCTCTTTAACTAGCTTTTCTATTTGAACTTTGCTGAACAAATTAGAAAGTTTAGCTAAGTTTTTAGCTGAATTGGATAGTGGCAAACAATCCATTGTTAGATCTTTATTCTTTAGCTTTTTTAGTTAATTCTTTGTTCTCCTATGACCTGATTGTCATATATTAGCATTTAGCAAGAGAAAAATATAAGACATACCAACAAAAGAATCAATATCTTTGACTCATACTTCGGGCTGAAAATAAAGGCATGTGCTTGCTCCATTCTGAATGACCACAGAAGTTTCTGCTTCTAATCAATTAAAAACACTCTTTTAAATAAAAAATCAGACTTACAAATCCTAACAGTAAAACCCGGGGGGGGGGGGAAAGAATAGGTATTTGATTTGTCCCCTTGTTCCACCTTTTCAAACCCCAAAAGGCCAAAACATGTCAAATGCTGGTCTTAGCTATCTGGGGTCTTGGGAGGGGTAGACTGGGTACATTCGTAACCTTTGACATTTTTTTTGTTGGAAAAGTAGCTGCCCTCACGTTTCTCATGCTTGCCAGCCCAAGATTTTACCACTACACCTAGTAATGGTAATTATTTTATATTATTGTTTAAAAATTATAATAGCTTAAAAAACTTCAGGCATCACTAACAATTGTTTTACTTATTATTTTCTTTAACAGGAGCATAAAGTTCAACCTTTTTAACAAAAAAGTTGCTTAAACAAAACAGTTTTTTCCCTTTTTTTTTTCATTTTGAGGGTCTGGGACTTGATGTATTGGTTCATGTGCCTATCAATCTTCAACCCATGTGTAATTGCAAAATAGTAACAGCATAAAGGATTTCCCCTTTTTTTCATTTTGAGGGGGCTGAGGCTTCATGTATGTATTTGGTTCATGTGCCTATCAACCCATGTGTAATTGCAAAATGGCATGAATAGCCTTTAATGAGTCACATTTATATTCTGAATTTTGTAGTCATTGCATGTACAATTTACGAGTTAAGTTTTCTTTGAGCCAAAGTATGATAGCAGCAATTCTGTAATTTATGTTTTTCATAGTTCTAGTAGGATTTGCCATCTAAAGAGCGTCTATATATGTCTGCGTCAAAATGTAGTTAATACTACCCAAGTTATTTTGAGTTATCAGTTTTTACTTTTTACAGCCTTCTGCATTAGTGATGAGTGATTCTCACACCCTAGAGTGACCCTGCTTGGATGAGTCTTGGTTTTTTTTATCTCTTTTTTCCCTCTACATTTTCCTCTAATTTTGCAAGCAACTATTACAGTACAGCCATCAATGGCCTATAAACACTTCAGAAAGGAGTTCACTCAGCATTACTAAAAGTAGGAATAGATCTATAGCCAAATGTTCCAAGCCTTATCCTTTCACTAAATTCTCATAAAAAGAAACACACCTCTCTCAATCACCCCTGCCTAGGTTGGGCGAAAACCTAATCTAATCCAGCTTCCCTCCATCTTTGTAACCTCATAAACATGCCCTAGAAATAGTTTTTGAAAACTCTAACCCCAATTCTAATTTTCCAAATATCTCTCAGTTCTCTCATAGAAATTTAATCTTTTCATGTCCAACTTTCTTTGGTTGTCTTCATATTAGGCCAGCCTTTACAAATCTTTATTACCATCCATTCTACCAAATTTAATCTTAAAACAACACCTAGAACTATAGTTTCTAGAATTTTCATGCTTTCATAAATGTGCACAAAACTCTACCAAACTTGGTTACCTTTTGCACATAATTTCCTTCTATACCTCATACAAAATTTAATTGAAAAAAAAAGAAATCCATCCATATACTTAATTTCCATATTCAATGAAAATATGCAGTCCTCAATGATATGACCTTCTACAACTCCCTAGATTTAGTACTAAAATCATTTATAACCCCTATCCTTGACAGTCAATACCTCCTAGACTTGCCTTTAGGTATACCTATTCTACATCATTTTAGTATCAGCAGTTGGTCCAGTTGGTTTGGCATCAAATAATGTCAAAAACACCTAGTTGCAATCCATCCTACATCAGTTTGGTCAAAAGCAGGTGGTCCTACATCATTGGTATCATAGTTCCTATTTGTTATCTTTCCTACATAAATTTGGTATATGAAGAGCAATTGGTCCTACATCAGAGCACCACCCATCTTTACTTAACCAGGCCAATTAAGTTTATATAATTTAGTCTACCGATCCAAATAAAAAAAAAAAAAACAGAAGAAGAAGAAAGAATGAAAGAAAGAAAGAAAAAAGACAACTTAGTGGGCCCTTAAATCATTTATCACTACTTCAACCCATGTTCTTTTTGGCTTGCTCTTGCTCTTCTGGCTCCAACTTGAATAAGCCACTTCTTACTGGTGCTATTGATGGTCTTCTCTGCATGTTCCCAAACCATCTCCGTCCACTTTCCCTCATTTTATTAGTATTATACTATTATTACCTATTGAAGTTACTAACTTCTACGTTCTTCAGAGTAATTATGTTTCTAATTCTATCATCTCTATCATCAGAAAAAATATTCACATTTCCAACACACTTTTTTTTTTGGACAGTTTCTCTTTTGATTGCCCAACCACACATAATTGTTGACCTTTATAGATGTTTTATAAAATTTTCCTTTTAGCATAGGTGGTATTTTCTCGTCACATAAAACTATGGATGCACCCCTCATTTTGCCCATCTTCTATTTCTATTGGCAACATCCTCCTCAATCTCTCCCTTGTTATGAATTATGGGACCAAGGTAACAGAAGAGATCATATTAAGACATCTCTAGGTTTCCAATTAGTATACCCTGAGAAGAGATGATTTATAAAATTGTAGAGGTTCTCCAACAAATCAGGATATAGGCCTCTTTGCAAAACATGCATGAATAGAAAATCTAAGTATAGCTGAAGTCTTGACTAGGCATTTTGGAGTCCTAACGCCTAGACAACCAACTAATAGGGTGGTATACCTAGAAAGATGTTATGTCTCTTTAATGTATTGATATGAGCAACCCATTTTCAGTTGAAAGGAATGTAGGCATTAATTATGCCACTCTTGGGGGGTTGGTCACGAATACATTTATTTTAGCAAATGATGCAGTTACTTCTACTTCTAATACAACCAATCCATCAAGCAATAAAATAGCTGATCAATGATAGCTATTCTCTCATACAGTGTTGCAAAGTATATAATAAGCCACCTCCTTGATTCCTCTGCAAAAAGTGAGGACCTGAACAGTATCAGCTAAGGATGCTAAAGTTCCTTAGTCCTAATCCTCAAAACCACTTGGAAAACAACTCTACTTGTGGATATCATTCATGGTCATCCTCTAATTCCAACAAGTCAAGTTTCCCAAGAGAATTGAAGTCATTTCATTATTACTGACATGTCCACTTCAAGAAAAAGTTGATCATAAATTGTTCTTCAGCCTCTGATTTTGAACTTCTCTAAGAGGGAAATGGTAGAGAACATGGATTGATTAGATATTTAGGCAAGTGCACCAAGATCAAAGGACTCAAGCTGCAGAAGTTTGCAGGGACCTAATCCTTTTTTTTTAACAAAATTAACTGTGAATTTATTCACTCAAATAGGCACATGAGAATGTACAGAAGCCAGAAAAGGCTGAGGCAGAATTACAAAGGCAAAGTACTGTCTCTAAACAAATTTTCACTATAAGCCCCTGATTTAGATATGCTGTCAGCTACAGTGTGGGACTGGGATCTATAATACTTTGAACAAGATAATATGGAGCTATGCAAGAGAATGAGATATGCTATGCTAGAAAACCGATGATCAATGTTGGATCCCCTATTTGAGAAAATACTCTAGCTAAGAGTTAGCACTGACCCTTGTACCTAAATGTTAATTGCACGGAACAGGGGAATTGGAATAGATGTGGGATGTATTAGTGTCGCCTAAATAAGAAACTTGCATCTCGAAACATATTAGAGGTAGTACTAGTAGAATATTGCTAATATCAAGGGAAAAGTACGAATACACATGATGCAGAATTCTGAATTCCAGCCACCCCCTACGACTAGCCCTCTCCCCCCCTATAAACCACATCCTGCCCGTGAATTTGGCATCAATTCACGGTCAGGATGCATTCCCCCTGTACTTCGTGGCTAGTAAATTCTGAGCTGGGCTGATCGGTATTCTCCCTAATATCAATGGTTTGAGGTAGACTGCTCATCTGCGTTAAAATTTGGAAAAATCCTAGGCTGTTATCTGTTTGAGGAAAGAATCTATCAGATCAACTCAATTGAATTTGGAAAAATAAAACACTTACACCTGTGATAACCGTAGATGTGAATTCGAAGAGAAAAATAGAAGTTTTGTATGATGTCAACCAAATTTGGTAAATTTTTATTCCTATATAATTGGTCCAAAAGAAAAGGATCCTCATTCAATATAACAGTAAATGAATACAAAAAATTTGGAACCCCTACTCAAATTTCAAAACAAAGATGGAATAATTTAGCTTATGAAAATTTTCCAATCACGAAACAAAGATGATAATAAATAGAATGAGAGTAACACAAACGGATCTGCGTGTCTTCCGTTAGTATCAATTGAATAATCATAAATCAAGAAAACAAATGCAATGTGCATCTCAAATTGGCAGTGTTTTTACCGGATCAACACAATTGAGACATAAAATCAAAGAAGAAGGTATCAAATCGAATAATTCGGGACCTCACCGTCGCCATTCGCGAAGGGCAAAACCTTCCTCTTGCATTTCACTGGGAGGGGGAAGCACGGGTCCGTCGGTGGTGAAGATGTCATCCGTGTCTGCACCGAGATCGTAAGGTTTGCCATTACCGTTGGAAACAGGAACCGACGAGAAAAGGGGCGGAGAGTAATCGGGAGTGGGATCTTCGGCTACGGAGGAGCTAAAACCGTAGATTGGAGGAGAAGGTGGAACACTGTCAAAGGAGTGGGAGACGTGTTCGACAGTAATCTCTTCTTCAATGGGGAAATCATGGTTGTAATCAGAGGTTGGAGGTGGAGGGATGTCGTCGGCTACGTCAATGGGGTCTACCTTCGAGTCCTCGTCGGCGGCGAAATTCGTATAGGAGTCGAAGCGTTGGGAGGGGAGGCGAGGGTCGTAGCCTAAGTAGCCGTCATCGTCAAAGGGGCGAGTTGAACTCCTCACCTCTTCTCCATCGTTCATGAATGTATCAAATGACGACATTTCTGTGCTTCTTACCTTCCTCTGACTCTGTGACTATTGTCCCTCTCTCTTTCTCTCCCCTCTCTCTGTGTTCCGGAAAAGAACGAGTCCTTTTTCCCTTGCTATCCCTCTGAGTCTGTCTTTCGCCTTGCAGATTGTTCAGTGGAAAACTGGAAAAACAGACTTGAGGAGGAATTTCTCTCTCGTAAGAAGGAAGGAAGAGGTGGTGGAACAGGAAGTAACAAATATGAAAATGAAATGGAAAGTCGGTCGGTTTCCTTCAATTACCAAAATGCCCTTTATTTTATTTTGAATGACTAAATGCTCCACTAAAGTAAACTATTAGCGAATCAGTTGAAATAGAAAGTCCGTCGGTTCTCTCACTCTCACCCTCCCCCCTGGGTGAGTGGGTGGGTCTGCATTCAGATTTTTACGGGAGAACTAGAAGCAACCAAAAAAAAAAAATCAAAAATACTGATCTAGCTCAGTTTTGCAGTCTTTGGCTCAAGTTCTGGAAAGCTGCCAAAGTTTGTAATGTTTTGTCTTTACACGTGGCTTTTGAGGATGTCTTGGTGGTTGGTAATAATGGTCCAAAGTTCAAATAGGCCCAAAAGTTCTAAAGTAAATTGATAAATTCTAAGCTCCATCCAGTAAAATCACTTTTGCTACAGTCATTGCTTAAAATTTCTTTTAGATCATCAACTCGTATTCAAGTGTTCAGGATCTTCAGGCACATACATGGAAACTATATACTACACATCACAAGCAAATGAGAACATTTGTACAAAAGTTAATCAATCTGTCAATTCAACAAAATCAGCACTGAGACCATTCAACATGGTCATGCAACTACAGTTGCTATTTTTTTCCCTTTCTACAGGACAAATGGCAACTAAATCAGCTGGTTGAGACACATCCATGATCCATCCCTTTAAGCTGCAGGCAATGATCCTCAAAAGGAAAAACCAAGGAATCAATCCTGACTGCTGCCAGACCTGTGAATCCCATACACAAACGTTATCTCAAGCAATGTTGGCTCTTTCAGGGTCTCGCTTGCTGACAGTACAGATACTCCTCTAAAGCTCAAGAGAGTAATACCAGAAACTAAACTCTCTTCATCAATATAGTATTCCTTCATAAATGTAAAAACCGAAAGCCCCCGAAAGAGAAAAATCTTAACCAAAGTCATCTCTCCTGAAGACCATGGAACTTGAAGTGATGGCATGATACACATAAAGAGATAGCTGGGGAGTGGGGATCAGCAACCTTCTCACATTCTGCTGACCGATGGTGATGATTTTTTGAAGATAAAACATGAAATTTATACCTGTAGTGTAACTCTGCTGTTTATCAAGATCATCTATATCTCTTCCCTTACTTTTCAAAAGAATTTGGTCAGTTCAGTGTCAGATCTATCCAATGGGATTTCAGCATCACAGGAAAGTCAAAACCACATTAGTAGTATTGGTTTGGTGGAGAATGGTAGTGATATGGATAATGCTGCCCATCATGTGCAAATGTGCAGTAGAGATGACAACTCTACACCCATTATTGGACTTTTGTCAATGAGGGGTCTTCTTGGAATATCTGATGGAAGGTATCAACTGCAAAACTCGTGAGAATTCTAACTTCAGCTGTTTACTTGAGATCCCTTGTAATGACCTGAAAGAAATTAGATATAATCAGTGCAAGAGTAAAAGGGTATAGAAAACCCTAATTCAAACACATCACATAGCAGCAAAGCCCTATAGTATTTTCTTTTTCTTGGTGTGCAGTTTTTTTTTCCCAATGGTACATTATATACAGAACTATGGACTAAGACTATCAGTCTATCACAAGTTCTTTTACCCCGCCCAAACTACTATAGCACACCTGGGGTGTGATTGGGGTTTTGCATGCTAAAGAAACTGTGCTGCATGCTTCAACATGGATTCTACAGATCCTTTCAATGCTCACCCTTTCTCTTGTTAACTTTGCCCATCACCCATCCCCAATTTCCAAAACAAAGGGATGTTATATTTGTAGGACAACTATTATGCATAAAGAATTTGTGGGTTAACTCTTAACACCCAAAACCAAAACCAGATCCAAAGTCCAAACATGCCTTTAAAATTAGAAATTTTCAAATGAATACTACAGTAATAATAACCACCAATCAATCTAAAAACTGTAACAGGTGGAAGTATCCACCTTGGAGAACCTGGACGTTTCAGAGTATTCTGACGAAGCATTAACTTTAGATTTCCAAGAGCTTCTTCAGCAACCTATGCAAAAAGATAGCCAAATTTGTTCAGATTCATGTTCATATTAGTGTCAGTAAGGTTTAGAAATAACAGAATAGATTGTATGATACCTGCACCTTGGATTCATCCAATGAGGACCCAATTCCCTTCCCTGCTACATCAACCTATAAAATAGTCCCAAAGGGAGAAGGACTACCAATTAGAAAAAAGGGGCATCCAATAGTCAAAAGCAGCACTATAACTAGATTACCATATATACGACCCATGGGTAAGTATTTGGTGGTAGCAATTATGAAATATAGATAGCATATAGTCATTAAAGTGCTAAGTTGAGATTGGCAACAGTGAATCACCTTGTCACCTAGGTGATGCAAGCAACTAGGTACTCGCTTAGATTACATCTAGGTGACATTTTTTTATATAAAAGGTCTGATTAGTTTTAGCTCATTTCCCTAGGAATGGCAATGAGGTGGGTTCAGGGCGGGGATAAAAGTTATCCTCCACCCCTGATCCCCGACGGAGACAGGTTGTCCACGGGGACCCAAATCCCTGAAATTTTTTAATTAACAGTATTTTTTGAAAAATAAATAATTTTTTTAAAATATAAATAATATTTTAAATATATTTTGATATATATAATAATATAAATAATATCATATATACAATAGTATATATTTAACATGAATAAAATAATATATAAATAATACCATATATGTAAATATAATCGGGGTCAGGGCAGGGCGGAGACTTCACTCCCCATCCCTGTCGCCGCCCCGTCAAGGCAATCCCCATCAGGTTAGAGAGGCTGGGTACCTGGCGGGGATGGGGAAAATTGCCATCCCTACATTTCCCTATCTTTTTATGAATTAATTTGTTTCTCTAGCAAGATTCAAACATCTAAATTCAAACTGAACTCATTGTGAACTTGACTCCAAATTGAAGTATCCTAGGACCATTGAGTCACCATTTTTAATTGCCAATCTTTTGATCATAATGGATAGTCAATAACCAGTCAACACAATCCTTAGGCCACATAACTCATCCAAGAGACAGCCCAGTTTCCCAGCAATTAAACTGTCAAAATGCAAAGCCATGTGTAGTAAAAACCAAGGTGCAAACTTTTGGTTCTACCACAGACACCATAATCAGTCCCTTTATAAAGAAAAAGGCAAAGACAATTTTGAACACTTTAAAAATTCAACCTTAGTTCAATGTGGGACTGACTCCAATTTGTAAGTAGCATGAGGTTTACTTCACTGAAAATTTCAAGTGCAAATTCAATCATATTTTAAGTTCCTTCACCTTAATTGAGTTTATCAAGTAACAAATCAAGATCTCATGGTATTTAAAAGCATGGCTTTCAAAAATATAAAAAAAATTATACTGTATTTGTTATGGGCCCGAGAATAGGATCTCGTCACGGGTCGGTCCACGGGGAAAACCTCCTGTTTTCCCTTGTTCCTCCCTTTTCTTGAGGAACCTATTTTGGCACCTTAATGGTGATTTGTTCAAGAGATCACCAACTCTCCTCTGCTCTCTTTCTTGACTGAAATTTTTTATA